TATGCAAAAGTAACTAGTAACTAATGGTATAAATAAATGCAGGGGAGTAAAAAGCAAAATATCGGCTTCCAAAATGTAGTAAGCAGTAGTATAAAATGGAAATACTCAAGTAAAGTACCTCAAAAATGTACTTGATACAGCATGTGAGTAAATGTACTTAGTTACTTTCCACCACTGCTTGTCTGTGTGCTCTTGACAGTGTAAGTCATTGATTCCATCCTTTCTTATACCTAAGATGATTAACTGCGAGCAGTTCCCTCTGGTGAGTCAAGAAAATAAATCAAAGTCATGCAAATAGGCTTGTCTCCTGTCTTCCTCGCACTGTGCTTTGTAAACACCTGTCATCTTCACTCCTCTCTCTCTCTCTCTCTCTCTCTCTCTCTCTCTCTCTCTCTCTGTGTGTGTGTCAGATCCAACGTGCTCTGCTTAGGAACAACCAGACTCAGCACTTCTCCCAGAAACAAGCGCTCAGGCTGCACCAGGGCCTCGTCACCAGCACGGCAGAACAGGTGTGTGTCTGTATTATTGCACATGATGCAATTTCCCCTATTTTAAGATAAAATTATGAAAAAATGTCCCAATGAATCGGAAACACTTTTTACAAAAAACTAAATAATTACCTAAAATTATTTGTATCACCTTCCACTTTTTCTTCCATTTTCTCCACCATTTTCTTTCCCTTTCTCTCTTACAAGATACCTGAAAAAAAATGGTAACGTTTGACTAAAAGTTAGCTAAAATGTTGCATAAAGAAAAACAAAAAAAGACAAGAAAGATTATAAAATATGACCAAATCTCAATGAATCTTGTCTAAAGAGTACTTCATGACTAAATATAAAATGCTTGATTGCTGGCTGTACGTCTATTTCATTGTGTGTTTGATGTGTGTGTAGGTGATGGAGCGTCTGTGTGTGCGGGTGCAGCAGCAGGTGGGTGTCCTGAAAGGTTCTGAGGAGGGAGAGGAGGTCCAGACGGCCAGACAAATCCTGAAGGAAGCCAGGGACTCCAGAGCTGTGAGTAGAGTAACACTTTATTTCAAGCACGTGAGACTGTGAAACTGTTATAACACATATATAAATACAAATACAAATATAGGATGTGTGAGTCAGACACTTGGAGGAAGTAAGTTTCTGTATTTTAACCAGTAGTGGAAATGACCGAAACCACTTTCCTCGGGGACTCTACTTAAAGCACCATAACAAAGGGTTTTAGATTAACAATGGATTATATATTTGATCTGTAAAGCACTTTGGGCTGCATCTTGCAGACAGGTGCTATATAAATGAAGTGTATTATTCTATATGCTATTAGATCGATCAGCCCACTGGATGCCAATCATCACATGGCATACAGACAATGTTGGCCACTAGCTGCTTGTCGTTTTGAAGCATTTAGCAGCTAGAGAGCCAGATATTTCCCTCAGGAGCTGGTGGAGCCCAAAAATGAGCCAAAAGAAACGTGAATATTGGACTGGACATTTGCCAGGTGTCTAGACACACAACTGCTTATGAATATTAACGTTGCTGTTTGAACTAGAAGGGCACTCGGAGAGTGAAAGATAATGCTTCTATCTGCCCTTTCCTCCGCACCAAATTGTAATGGGATCTTCGATGTCCCATGCCAAATTTAACAAGTTCATTGAATCAGTCAGTCCTGCTGACAAATAGAGAAACAAACCAAACCGAGAACATTTTTTAAGTTGATTATTTATCATCAATGTTACATTAATATCGTTATATGAGACTACAGATTTTAGATATCAAAATATTGTAAGCGTAGTCTTTTTAGTAGTGTAAGTTTTCTGAATGTATCACGCTGTGTTAGCTCTTCTATTATTTGCCTTTACCGACATGGTCATTAAATTAGTAATTATTATTTTTTAAATATTATGTGAAACTATAAATGATCAACCCTACCCTATCAATATCGAGGTATTTGATCAATGGTATACTACTGATTTTCTTCAGATCGCCCAGCACTAATCAGGCGTCATGGTATATCATGACCTAACTCTAACTGCTGCTATATCTAAACTATCCTTACATATTATTGATAATCCATCAACAGTTATAAATACGATAATAAACATTTCAGAAAGGGGATATTCTGTTAAATGAATTGTTCCACTGATTTTAACCGTTTTTCTTCCCTTTCCTGTTGCGTGTTTTTGTCTGTATTTGTGTGTAATAGCTCTATCCCTCTCTGTGTGAGTTGGCCCATGTGTTGTCAGTGGACGGCCCCGTCAAACAGCGTCTGGACACTCTGGCTGGAGAACTGGCCAAAGCCGCGGACAAGGAGCTGCAGGTAGGGAGAGGGTGGGGGGGTGAAGGCACGGACGTTACCATAGCCATTCCCCGGATGCAACTGTATTTTAAACAGTAGTGCAGCTCTGGACTAGTTGCATCTAAATTGCCCATTATTGGCACGGGGCTGTGTGTGCGGCGCAGGTATGCTGACTTCAAACGAAAAGGAGCATTTCAAATTCACAGGGAGGGAGCAGTTTACCATTTCTTTTAGTTCCAGTCCCATTGGGATTCAGTATGAGTCGAACGATGAACAAAAATTCAAACAGCACGCCCTGAGGAGGAATCTGGAATACTTTCTTTTGAATTACTGGAGCTTAATTTCCATTTCTGTTTGTGCTTTCCAATTCTAATTTTGCATAAGTGAAAATCAATTCAAATGCAGCAAAACTGTGGATCTTGCAGATGAGGTGAGCAGATCATATGATTTGTTAGCAGTCTATACATGGCTGAATGCATTGCTGCAGTGCACATAAATAAAACATGGCAACAAGTCAGAGTGAAGGAGCTGGATGAAAAATTGAAGGGAGGAGATAAAGAAACAGTGTACATGAATAATTAGACGCTTGGGAAACACGAACGTGGGTGTATTGAGAGTGCATTATAAATGTTGCGAGATGTAATTTATGTGTAGTGATGCATGTGTGTGTTCGTCTGCAAACAGGTGGTGGTGGACTCCATGGTGTTGCTGTGCCGCGAGTTGTGTCCAATGTCCTGCTCTGCCGCAGAGAGGCTCAACCCGCCCCTCTCGTCCATCTCAGAGCAAGTTTCCATCCCTCGCTCCGCCATCCGCAGCGCCCTGATGGAGCGAGCGGCGGAGGATATCAACAGAGCTTTAGAGTGAGAAGCGGGTGAAAGAAGTTCAAAGGGAAGACACAAATGAATGCCGAGACACTTCTCGAATTGTAATTCCCTCCTCTATTTCCCTTGGCCTTTCTTTCAGGGAGGTGAAGTTGTCTGTGGTCTCCTATCTGACCAACTCCATTGTGGATCAGATTCTACAAGAGCTGTACACCACCCATAAAACCCTGGTACTGGTAATACCCCTTTACTGCATGACTTCTATGTAGAAATGTAAAACAAAATGTTTCTTTAATCTATCACGTCAATGCAAAGACGACTTAAAGGGGCCCTAATATGCTCCCTGGGGTTCTCCCTTTCCTGCAGTGTGTTATATAGGTTTGTGTGCATGTAAATGGTCTGCAAAGGCTAGAATCCCAAAGTTACCTCCTTTAAGCTTTTCTATCCCACACACTCCCCCCCCTCCCCCCCTGCCTGAAACGCCTCAATTGGACTCCTTTGTTTACTTTTTTAACATGGTGACATCACTATGTAACACTCACGCTCCGCTCCTATTGGCTAACGCTCCAACACATTGAACGGGACATCTCACAGCCAACCAAGTGAGAAGATTGGCTGCAGTATGAGAAAAATAAAGTATATTTGAACATTAACGCATGTAAACGTCACAGTAGAGGCACACAATATACATTTCAACATCAAAATGTATACACAGAATATGTGCCCTTTAAAGATATTGGCATTGGTCTGTAACCTAAAAAATGTGATTCATATTTCTAACCAAACTTTTTTCGTGTGGTGCAGTGGTGCAATCCACAGAAAGTGGCCCCCCCATTTTCAAAAATGTTTCACTGCAATCTTCTGTAACAATAACCTTTTACTAATTTCAGCTCATCCGACCGGCTCCTGTGATCAGCCTTTAGATAAACCAAGGATCACATTATTTACAATATTGCAAAATACACACACCTTTTCAAATATCCAAACTCAATCAATCAATCAATGTTTATTTATATAGCCCAATATAGCAAATGTTACATTTGTCTCAGTGGTCTTCACAGTTTGTACAGAAAAAAAATCCTCCATTGATTTGTGCAGTGTGTTTGTCGACTACATGATGATTCATTTCATTTAGTGAGACGATATGTTGCTCTAGTAAGATGAGTCATGGATTAATCTGAAAACACAGTATTTTTTAAAGCGAGTTGTCTGCTGAGTGGAATACATTAGTGTGCTGTTTATCAGATCCACAAACATTATTGATCAAATGTTGCCAAATATGTGCAAGTGTGCCTATAGCTACATAAGCAAAGTGCAGAGATGTTCACCCAGAGTGGCCCAGGAATGTCGAAGTGAACAAACATTTTAGTGAGTAGAGAATCAGCGGCAGTGCAATTTGATGTATGGTGCGGCCGCTCATTATTGGTCTCTTTATCAAAGACTTTCTCCAGCGTGGAGTACCCATTAAAATTTGATGTGTGGGATGTTTGTGATCTCTCATTCTGTCAAAAAAGTCTGTGTATCTTTTAATTTTGAGGATCTTTAAGTGAAGTAGGGACTGTTTTAGAGCTGCTGCTGCTGCTGCTATGTCATTACCACATCAAGATGAAGGCTTTTTAAGTATAGAGTAGGAGAATATTGCCTCGAGAAACAACAGAGTTCTGAGTCCGTTAAAGGACGTGATTAGAGCCTGCGGTTTTTCCTCTCCTCTCCATTTAATTGAATTGTATAAAAAAGAAACCAGTGGAAAAGCACGCAATACAACTGCTGGCTGCTGCTTTGCATTCCATTCATTGCTTCTACCTTACATCTCTTTTTTCTCTTCTCGCTGTGCCAGTTTGTCCTCTATCATGCCTTACTCAGGTTTGATCATCAGGAAATTGTGTTTTATTCATGGTCTTTTCAACTATAGCGCTATGCTTTCTTTGTAAGCTTCTTGCGTACAAGGGCGGGCTCGCTTCTCCTCCGAGATTGTGCAGAAGGGTTATTGACCCGTGTGTGTGTGTGTGTGTGTGTGTGTGTGTGTGTGTGTGTGTGTGTGTGTGTGTGTGTGTGTGTGTGTGTGTGTGTGTGTGTGTGTGTGTGTGTGTGTGTGTGTGTGTGTGTGTGTGTGTGTGTGTGTGTGTGTGTGTGTGTGTGTGGTTCGTTCTATCAGCTGCGGCAGGTGTCTCAGGCGAAGCGCTGGGATGACATCGGGGCGAGCCGGCGCACCGTCAGACAGTCCAGGATAGCTGAGTCCCTGGAATTTCCCGATGAGGACTTTGGTGTCAACCTGGGAATAGTAAGTGTCCGAGTGCATGCGGATAAAATGTGAACCCTCGCTACGTCTCCATGAAAAACATCATTGACGGGCTAGTGAAGCGGCAGCGTATGGGACAGAGGGTTTTGCCGAATTTCAAAGAAAAACAAAGGTTAGCTTTAAGAAGATTAAAAAATATAGCAGAGCTCCAGTGATTAATACATCGTTGAAGCTTGTAAAGGTACGATGGCAAGCGGCAAACAAAGCAACTCAACAAAAGAGGCTTGTTGTGTGTTTCCTCTCAAAATACATAAATACACACATCAACTTTCATTGGCGTGACTTTCCTTCATCTGAGTAAAAATAACATCCTCGTCCTCAATGCTACTAGCTTATAATGACTTGAACAGTATGAGAAGGCAGCCTGCTAACAAGTTTTGTTATACACCAAAAAGATTTCAGAATCATAACTAATCTGGGGGGGGGGGTGGTCAAGGGTTACTATCCCGCCAAAATATTAAGCTATGAGCCCCCTCTTAAAATAACTCTCGCTACAAAATCTACTTTCAAGGCCTTTTTCTAATAATTGTTTCTTGATAACTCATTTTTTTATGTGACATATTTTGCTATTTGTATGAGTATTTGGAGAACAAAAACAATAATTCTGTCATTAAAAAGCTGAAAATCTACTCTTTCCAACAACGTTTACAACTTTAAATGTGTTTTGGGGTCAAAGTGACTGATTTTGATAGAGCAGGTCACATGTGTGTGTTCGGTGGATTGAGAGTTTCTTTTTTTACAGGTGGTACATGTACCAGATGGTTTGTTACACAGAACCATATGAAAAGCTGTCATTTGGAAACTGTTCTGAAAAGAGCATGCACTTTGAAAAATTGCCTTGGCAGGTGATTGGACGAACCATCTGTCTATCACCGTTTGCCGTGGCCAGTTGTAGAAGAGGGAACATATTTTCTATCCAAAAAAAGCCAGTTTTTTATAAAGAAATTCTCTCCAGTTTTGAGCATCTTCTAGAAATGGGACTATCAGTTATGCCAATGGTTTTGAAATGGAATTAGTTTTACTGAAAATATGATACATAAGCCCGTAATTCTTTCTGCTTGCTTTTTTGTGCTCTTCTCACATTTATGTTAACATATTTGGCTGCAGTGTTTGAAATAAAAGTGCCTTTTACATTTCTCTCTTTTTTAAAAGGACACAATGGCTATAAAGAAGCGGAGCTCCAGAACTAGAAGAATCCGTCCCGTCTCCACCAGACCCAGTGAGTGTTTTGTGCCTCCGCTAGCTGCTAATTAGCCTCAAGTGCTAACATAGCCTGATATTATATCACAATATTAGCATGGTCATGGTCAATTCACTTTTTACTTGATATACAGTGAGAAAGTTCTTTAATTGGTTTAACTTGAACTTTTAATTGGTGTGCAACTAAATTCCTCCCCAGTGGTTATGCTTATAGGGACTTTGTTATCTGCCAATGTATTACATCTTGTATGTTTAAAGGATAAAGCCTTTTTAAGTGGCCTGTATATCCATTCTATGGTGGCCTACAGGTCCAAACGTGTTAATACTTCCCAAAACACCTCCATTAGGAGAAACGTGCTGCAGCTTACAAAAAAGGTTGCAAATATAAAAACAGAAATGGGCCAAAACACATTCAAATGAAGAAAAAGCTCCAAATTGACAAAACATTTGAAGTGTTCACTAAAAGTGATGCATAAACAATACGCTGCAAATACAATACGCTGCAAATACAATACGCTGCAAATACAAAACAATGCAAGTAAAGCACGATGGGAAAACATGATCGAAACGGGGACAGTAAAAAGTGGAGCACAGCTGGGACCTGGGCTTGTTGATATTTGGGCTTTCTAAGGTCGTGTCAACTTTCCCTGGAAACGTACCTACAATGCAAGTTTTATTGGCTTATTTTAACAATATGATCACATGATTTCTTCAATATTATTGGAAGTCTGCAAGCTAGCCAACGTAGCTAGCTTGCAGACTAGCTGACCTCATTTCAAATATACTGACAAATCCCTTACAAATATGAAACAGACTAACTGTTCCAACAGTGACAGTTGGCCAACTTTATAATCCCTTAACAAGCTCTCCGGTCCCAGCTGTGTGCATCACTTTCTGATGTCCCTTTTCCATTATGTTTTGAGCTTCTTTCTGCATTTTTTATTTGAAGCATTTTGCATGTTTCAGCAAGTTTTTGAAATAAGGTGAATGTGTTGTCAAGTTGTAAAAAGGGGTTGTCATAAAAACTAACAGTGTAATTTAACCCAAAAACGATTCCTTTTAAAGTCATTGTCATTTTGTCTAGGTGTTGGTGATGAGCCCAGTCCCTCTCCCACCCCCTCTGCTACACCGCACTCCGACCCTCTTACACACTCGGCATCATGGGAGTGTCTCTCCACCCTCCCCACAAACGGCTCGCCCTTGCGTCACGTGACCCACGTCAGGCCCCGCCCACCGCGGAGACACAGAGCGGGGCACCCTCCCCCTGAATCTGTAAGTCTGGGAATAACCTTCGACCTAATCAAGAATATTCATTATTCCTCGAGCAAGTGACGAAGTACCCTAAATGGCTTTTTGTCCACCCCAAAAATGTACTTTTTTAATTCCATCTGGCTCTTTTAATGAAGGTAATGGAGTCTGTGTTATATAGGTGACATCAGTGTATGTTGAACTGCCCTATTTCTGATCTTACGCTCAAGTTAAGTCTATGTTGAGAAAGTAAACCCAGCATGTATCTAGTTCTCAAAGGCTTCTTTTATCTCCTTTGTGTGAAATGTTGTTATTTATCTGGTTTTCTATGCCATGGGCACTTTCCAAAAATAAGTCCCTCTTTCTTTATAAAGCAGGAAGCTGTCGCGCATGTCTCTGTGACTCAAATTTTAATCACGCACAGCCACCTCCCAGGGGCAGCCTCTAACTTAGCGGCTT